TTGTTTGCAGTATGAGATTTAATAAAGAAGGAGCCATTTTAATTTTGGTCATATGTTTGGTCTGAAATTCCTGCCCTAAAAATTCTCAGCGAGGAGTTGCATTTGTCTCATTTGTCATCCATGACAGTTGTGGTGCTGATTTGTGCTCAGACTCCTCCAAGAGCTTGTTAGGTCATTTTTAGCCAATTATGTCCTACAGTCAAAATCATTTTAATACTGTGAGACAGAAGAGGTTAGAAGTGTCTGTGTTTGCCTCAAAAATAAATTAAGATTCCTTCAGAACCTCCCAGAAATGCACGTTGGCATTTGGTTTAAATGCCGCCGGCCCGTCGCAGCTGACCTCACTTGTCTCCGTTATGTACTTGCCAGAGACGGAGTCGTTTACCAGATGCGTCTCACAACATGACATTGTCAAGCACAGAAGAATGACTGTGGTAAAAATAACAGATTTTCGAAAATTTAACAAGTACCAATTGTAGTTATGTTCATCTGGTTCTGCTGACAGCAATGTTTCTCATTCTAATTAATAAAAAACAGAAGAAAGAAAATATTCTAAATAAGAAAGACGAGTGATAGCAACAGATAGATTTTTTTTCTTTATTATACTTCAGGTAAAGGCTTACAGAACAAATAGTTTCTCTTGAAACAGTAGTACACATATTGTTTTATGACATTGGTTAACAACCCCACAACATGTCAACCTTCTACCTTCTTGACCTTTTTTTTTTTTTTTTGGGGAAAATATACATAGCCAAAGATACACCATTTCAAAAATTTCTACATGCACGGTTCAGTGACATCGACTATGCTCTTCCAATTGTGCTGCGATTCTCACTTTAGATGAAGGTTTGCAGAACAAAATAGTTTCTCATTAAACAGTTAGTACACATGTTGCCCTATGACAATGGTTAACAACCTCAACACATCAACATTATCCTTACTCAACCTTGGGTTCCCTATCACCAGCTTTCCTGTTCCCTTCTGCCTTCTAGTCCTTGTCCCTGGATTGCTGTGCCTCATTAGTCCCATTTGGTTTTATGGGGCTGTCCACTCCCCGGGTGAACGGTGAACCTCGGAAGTGACTTTACCACTGAGCTAAAAGGGTGTCTGGCGGCCATACTCTTGGGGTTTCTCCAGTCTCTGTCAGGCCAGTAAATCTGGTCTTTTTTTGGGAGTTAGAATTATGCTCTACATCTTTCTCCAGCTCTGTCCAGAACTCTCTGTTGTGATCCTGGTCAGAGCAGTCAGTGGTGGTAGCCGGGCACCATCTAGCTGTACTGGACTCAGTCCGGTGGAGGCCTTGGTAGCTGTGGTCCGTTAGTCTTTCGGACTAATCTTTTCCTTGTATCCTGTTCTCTTCATTCTCCCTTGCTCCCGAGGGGATGAGACCAGTGGAGTATCTTAGATGGCTGCTCACAGGTTTTTAAGACCCCAGACACTACTCACCAAGGTAGAATGTAGAACATTGTCTTTATAAACTGTGTTATGCCAATTGAGCTAGATGTTCCCCGAGACCATGGTCCCAATAGCCCTCCACCTGGCAATTCAGTCTCTCAGGGAGTTTGGATGTGTCTATGGGGCTTCCATGACCTTTCCTTGTACAAGTTTTGCTGGTTTCCTCTGTACTGTGTACTGTCTCACCCTTCACCCAAGATACCACTTATCTATATTGCCTATTTAGTATTTCCCCCCCACCCCTCCCATCCCTGGTAACCAACAAAGATTGTTACATTTTGTGTGTGAACTTTTTCATGGGTTTTTACAATAGCAGTCTCATACAATATTTGTCCTTTTGTGATTGACTTATTTCACTCAGCATAATATCCTCCAGTTTCATCCATGTTATGAGATGCTGCACAGATTCATCGTTGTTCTTTCTCATTGCATAGTACTCCATTGTGTGTATGTACCATAGTTTGTTTTTCCATTCATCTGTTGATGGGCATCTAGTTCTTTCCATCGTTTTGCTATTGTGAACAATGCTGCCATGAACATAGGTGTGCATATGTTTATTTGAGTGATGACTCTTATTTCTCTAGGATATATTCCTAGGGGTGGGATTGCTGGATTGAATGATATGTCTATTTCTAGCTTTCTGAGGAAGCACCATATCATTTTCCAAAATGGTTGTATCATTTTGCATTCCCACCAGCAGTGCATAAGAGTTCCGATCTCCCCGCAGCCCCTCCAACATTTGTTATTTCCAGTGCTTTTGATTCGTGCCAGTAATGTCGGGGTGAGATGGTATCTCACTGTGGTTTTAATTTGCATTTCTCTACGAGCATTTCCTCATGTGTCTGTTGGCCATTTGAATGTCTTTTTTGGTGAAGTGTCTGTTCATTTCCTTTGCCCATTTTTTTTTCCTTTTTCAGATTTCATTCTAAGAAAATTATAAATAGGGCAAGTATTAGCAATACCTTAATGCAAGACCATCAGAATGACAGCAATTAGCCAGCAATAGCTCCCAACCTCTATATAAGTTAGGAAATTGATATTATTTGAGTTTTAATCAGTATGCCTTACCAATGTTTAAAACACAGTGTTCAGTGCAAAAATTATACTGATTATTTAATTCTTTCTGGATGTTTTAAGAAATTCTTTATACCCCATAGTGCTGTAACTATTTTTCAGCATTATTAAAATAGTTCCTGTAGTTTAAAAAATAAAAACCTCCAAAGTTATACCATGATTTTACACTGAATTATCTAAATTGCCTCCCACCTCTGTTTGCTTGAGTTTTGGAGACAGGCGTTTCAGGGGATACCGTTGGAACACTAAACCAACTACGGAAGTTTTCAGATTAAAGTCGGTTTTTATCAACTTTTTCCTGTCAAAATCTGAAGCCAATTAAACAATTACCCGAACTGAAAAAAACCAAAAACCCTTATCCGCATTCTCAACATCTTAAAAACAAAATAGTAGCCTAGTAGCCATTACACACCCACTAGACACATTAGCGAAGTTCCCTTGAGGCAGAATTCACTTTTAAACAGATCAAACTTATTAGCAACAGATGTGACAAAGCTAGTGCTATAGCTATAGTAGAAACGTCCATGAAAATCAGAGAAAACGGCAGTCATTTCTCCCCTTGGCTAATAATGTGATGAATTTTAAGACACAATTTCAGCATTTTCTACTGAGATCCCCTCATTTGGCTTTGAATGTTATATAAAATCTTTTAAATTTATGACTACCTACCCTGCTTTTTCACTTATGTGTGCCTTGCTCTAGAAAATCACTTTAATCCTCACCGTTCTGAAAATAAAACCAATTTTCCTCCTAAGTACATATATACAGTACCCCCTAAGAGTACCAGGAATATGTGATAAATATTTTCATCAGCCCATTAACCTATTTTTAAGTATAAAGTGATTCTTAAAGTGTGCCGTCCTTCCTATTTAAAAGGTGCCGCTAAAAGCTATTGAAAACTTAAAAATAACAAAATCTTAACATTCTTAAGTGAATACCATTTAACTAATATTTAAAACCTCTGCAATTATTAGTTTATTAGTATCATCCAGGACTCAGATGTCAGTATTCCTCCCGAAATTATACATAAACAAATGGAAGAGAATCCAAGTCATCAAAATTATATAACAAACAGCACTCCATCACAAAAGCGTGTAAATTACAAGAACGCTATTTGAAAACACTGACACTTTAAGAGAACGATCATCTCAAAAACCACAAAATTGCCAAATTGTTCCCTAAGCTGTTAAACAGGTAAACGTATGACCCTGATGAATAAGTCTGGGTTTTGTAAAAGAAAAATCAAATCTGAATAAACTGATCATTGACACTGAGATGTAAACCTTTTCTTCTTTCCTCCTGTTTGACTTATAAAGGGACAAACTACAATATAGGAAAATATACCCTATTTTAAATGGCATGCTTTTAAAGGGTGGCCTAATTTAAAATGTCTAATTATAATGGAGAATCTCTAGTTTTCCTGAACAGTCTGTATTTAGATAAATAGGAAGGCATTTATAGCCAGTATTTTCTAGAGCCTTTGCAGGGTCAAGTGTCAACAAAATACTTAATATGGCCATCTTGCATTTTAAGCTCACGCTTTTGGGGATACGTTCTTAGGCCTTCGTTAATGTGGAAACCGCAAATACAACTGCCATTACATGGTAATGGGAGTTAAAAGAATGTAGAGTCCTCATGTAAAGACTGCAACATACCTTTCTATTTAGTCCTTCAAGGACAGACTTTCAGCGTGTTTGGTTCTAATAGTCCCATCCTGTGACAGTACTGGTTACTCTTCACTTTGAAAATGCTGTAACTGGGCTACGTGCCTTTGTATCAACTGACCAAGATTTGAGTTTCACTTATGGATGAAAACTGTCTCAATTCAACTGTTATTACCCCCATCATGAGTATGCAGGGTGTGTAGATGAAAGCTTTTGTTATCAGCTAACTATATGAAAAGATGATGGTGTAAATCGTTCATGTGACCCAAAATGGGCAAAAGCAAAAAAGCCTAGCTTCCCCTCAAGAAGAACAATGTCAGACCTAGGAAAAGGAAGACAGTACTAATAAAAAAAAATTGTGTTTACTTAGAAGCATTCAGAATGTCAACAAAACAGCTGCAACTTTTTTTTTTTTTTTTGCAATTACAGAGTGGTATTCAGTTAACAGAACAACAATGATTCGTATAAGCTGCATCAGAGACAACTGAAGATGAAAAAAAACTACCACCCCCATATAGAACTAATTTGTGCTGTGCACCAACAAGATCCTGCTTTAAATTTCCATGCCAAATGAACCCCCATACTGTACCAGGCAAGGTTAGTGGCTATTGAAAATACCACCAGGACAGGGCTATCTAGAGACACATTCGGTAGTGTGTTGACTATACAAAAAAAAGACACTGTACGGTTTAAAAACAAATCTGACACAGCCTTACATTTCAATTGTTTTTCTTTAAAAGGAGTGAGTTGTGTACAGGGGGGTTAAATGCTTTATAGACAAGAAAAAAAAACTGCACTAGAACCAACTTATTCATCATCATCTTCTTCATCTTCATCTTCTTCGTCCTCCTCCTCCTCTTTGTCCTCCTCATCTTCTTCATCTTCCTCCTCTTCCTTCTTTTTCTTGCTTTTCTCAGCCTTGACAACTCCCTTTTTGGCTGCATCAGGCTTTCCTTTAGCCCGGTATGCAGCAATATCCTTTTGTATTTCTCCCTCAGCTTAGCGGCCTTCTTCTCATAAGGCTGCTTGTCATCGGCAGCAGTATTATGACACATCTCTCCGAGTTTCTTCACAACCTCACCAATGGATAGGCCAGGATGCTCGCCTTTGATTTTGGGGCGATACTCAGAACAAAACAAGAAAAAGGCCCAAGGAGGCCTCTTGGGTGCATTGGGATCCTTGAACTTCTTTTTTGTTTCCCGTTTAGGAGGGATATAGGTTTTCATTTCTCTTTCATAACGCGCCTTGTCCGCCTTTGCCATGTCTTGGAATTTTCCTTTCTCTTTAGCAGACATGGTCTTCCACCTCTCTGAGCACTTCTTAAAAAATTCTGAGAAGTTGACTGAAGCATCTGGGTGCTTCTTCTTGTGCTCCTCCTGGCAAGTTTGCACAAAAAATGCATATGATGACATTTTGCCTCTCGGCTTCTTAGGATCTCCTTTGCCCTTGTTTAGTTATTTTTCGTCTGCAAGGCGCAGAGTCACCCAGTGCCATCCTGCTCTGCCTGGCCCGGCGCTGTCTCTATGGAGCTCAATGTACTGCAGTGGTTGTGAGAGCGGGAGCCAGACACAGCCTCTCCTTTGCCCATTTTTTAATAGGATTATTTGTCTTTTTGTTGTAGAGCTGTTGGATTTTCTTGTAGATTATGGAGATTAGACCTTTGTCTGACTTGTACTGTCCAAAAATTTTTTCCCAG